GATGTGGGACTCGATCCCAGGACCCTGGGATCATGACCTGAGCCGAAGGCAGACGCTTAACCATCTGAGCCACCCAGGCACCCTTTGTCTCCTGTTTTTAACCTCCTTGTGTGTCCCCATTCCTTCAAAACTCAGCTGGCTGAAATATGACATATGGCCCAGACCCATATCTTCCCCACTCTTCTAGCTGAGAGCCCCGCTTTTTTCTCCCAGCCTGCTTACACTGCACTGACCTTCACTTCCATCTCCCGTGCAGTCCATGGCACGGCAGCTCTTACCACATGAGAAGTGTTTTGAGGGAAGGACTGGGTCTCATACTGGAATCTTTCCCTAACACGTAACAGTAGTGCTTCAATAAATGTTAGCTAAACTAATGACTAAGAAATTGATCTAGTAGCCTTCATGTCCTGTGTGGCTACACGAGCTGCTATCGACACGTTCTCTGTCCCACCTTTGTGTTTCACCACAGCCCAAAGGCAGCCAAGTCCTCCGCTCAGCAAATCCGTACTATCAGGCCATCAGCAGACCTTCCTCTGCACTTCCCTGAGGGCCTTCTCCCTCAAAGGCTGTGCTTCTCTGAACAACAGAGAAATCTGTCAACTTCGGATCTTCTAAGATAACCTTTCAATACACAGTCGTGTAGTGAGGCTATAGGTTTATTCTTGCTTCTTTGTACTTTACTGCATTACTATTTTTATAATGAGAAACACAGTTCCCAAAGGGCCTGGCCTTTGGGCTGGAGCTGAGGCGGCTGGTTGGTGGCTTCCTACCTCGTCTGGTCAGTACCAGTAAGGCTGACAGTCCCAGAGGGACCAAGATACATCAGATTGTGAGTCTGTTTCCTTATCTTTAAAAACTTCAAACTATGTCCCCTTGGGGGCACTGCAAGAGCCACCCCAGGGAGGGAGAAAGGCTGAGGGGGGGTGTTCTAGGAAACACCCTAAAGCCCAATCACATAGCCAGAGCAGCTCTCCTTGCGTCTGTTTAGAATTACCTTGGAGAAGTCTCCTATAAGGTCCCTTGGGTCATTATCCAAAATGTTCTCAATGGTCCCCTTTGGGGAAGATGCCAGGGATAAAGACTGATGTAGAATCTGTAACAAATCACAAATCAAAGGTAGAAAATGAGGCCAGGATTCTGAATAGGACTTTTGAAAACATTCACCTAGAACATGTCTCAGGAGGAGAGTGACATGTAAATGTCTACATTTAGCAAATACTTTTTCTTACTTGATTGAAAAAGAGAAAGTAGGTCACTGACTAGAAGTCTACTATTATTTCAGTGTCTAACTGAAATGTTCTGAAACTAAATTTTTCTTCTTCCCTTTCTAAATTTTTTAAATTTTTAAAAAAGATTTTATTTATTTGAGAGAGTGTGCGCGTACACACAAGTAGGGAAAACGGCAGGCAGAGGGAGAGGGAGAAGCAGGCTCTCTGCCGATCAGCGAGCCCGATGTGGGGCTCGATCCCAGAGCCCTGGGACCATGATCTGAGCCAAAGGCAGACACTTAACTGACTGAGCCACCCAGGCACCCCTCCCTACCTTTTTTAAAAAGGGGAATTAAAATTAAGGCTAAGTCTATGGAGCACCTGGGTGGCTCAGTCGTTAAGTGTCTGTTTTCAGCTCAGGTCATGGTTCCAGGGTCCTGGGATAGAGCCCCACATTGGGCTCCCTGCTTGGAGGGAAGCCTGCTTCTCCCTCTCCCACTCCCCCTGCTTGTGTTCCTTCTCTCGCTATGTCTCTGTCAAATAAATAAAATCCTTGGGACGCCTGGGTGGCTCAGTCGGTTAAGCGTCTGCCTTCGGCTCAGGTCATGATCCCAGGGTCCTGGGATCGAGTCCCGCATCGGGCTCCCTGCTCCGCGGGGAGCCTGCTTCTCCCTCTGCCTCTGCCTCTCTCTCTCTATCTCTCATGAATAAATAAATAAAATCTTTTAAAAAATAAATAAATAAATAAATAAATAAATAAATAAATAAAATCCTTAAAAAAAAAAATTAAGGCTAAGTCTAAAATAAATATTTTTTAACTCTGTCCACTGAGAAGCTCTAGAGGTACAATGAGCATTCCTAAAGAATACTGTGGTCTCTGAATACTATTTTCCACTAAAAGAAACCAGGGCTTGAGGATGCCTGGCTGGCTCAGTCAGTGGAGCGTGCGACTCTAGATCTTGGGGTTGTGAGTTCGAGCCCCATATAGAGTGTAGAGATTACTTAAAAATAAAATCTTTTTTTCGTTTTTAAAGATTTTATTTATTTGACAGAGAGAGACACAGCGAGAGAGGGAACACAAGCAGGGGGAGTGAGAGAGGGAGAAGCAGACCCCCCGCCGAGCAGGGAGCCTGATGTGGGGCTCCATCCCAGGACCCCGGGATCATGACCTGAGCCGAAGGCAGATGCCCAACGACTGAGCCACCCAGGCACCCCATTAAAAATAAAATCTTAAAAAAAAAAAGAAAAGAAACCAGGGCTTTTTGAAGATGTAATTGACTCCAGGTTGGGACAAGAAATATACAAGATAAACCTGGAATGCCTTCTGATAGTAGCAAGGAAGCTACCAGACTAGTAAGGCCATGTCAAAAGGGCTAGTCATGGGGTGGTAAGGATTTCTTAAGCAGGACACAAAAAGCACTAAACATAAATAAGATTGATTAACTGAAATACATGTAAAAAATCAAGAAATTCTGTTCATCAAAAGAACAGTATTAGGAGAAAAGGCAAGCCAGAGTAGGAAGATATACAATCTCTCAATAAAAGATTCATCTCTGAATACATAGAGTACTCCCATAAATAAGAGATAACCCAGTAGAAAAATGGGCAATAACTTGGACTAGCAATACAGAGAGGAAAATCCAGGACCAAGAAAAATGACTATTAGGGCAATACAAACTAAAACTGCAGACACCATACACTCACCAGAACGGCTAAAACTAAAGGGATGAACAACACTAAGGATACTGGAAGGATGCAGAGTGCGACACTCATACACTGTTGTGAGAACAACCATGCTGGACAACGATATGGCGGAGTGTCTACCAAAGCCAAACACATGACTAGCCTAGGACCAGAATTCCACGAGACATCAAAGTATATGTTTACAAAACAAAATTGTACAAGAATGTTTATAGCACCTTTATTAATAGTTGCCAAAACCGGGACGCCTGGGTGGCTCAGTTGGTTAAGCAGCTGCCTTCAGCTCAGGTCATGATCCCAGAGTCCTGGGATCAAGTCCCGCATCGGGCTCCCTGCTAAGCAGGGAGCCTGCTTCTCCCTCTGCCTGCCACTCCTCCTGCTTGTGATCTTTCTCTCTCTCTGACAAATAAATAAATAAAATCTTAAAAAAAAAAAAAATAGTTGCCAAAACCTGTGAACAACTACCCAAACATCAACTATGGGACAGACAACCTGTACTCTGTTCGTGGGATGAAATATTATACAGCAATGACCAAAAAAAAAGGGGGGGTCACTCAACCATGGATAGATACAACACATGATTCTCACAAAAATAATGCTGAACAAGAGAATCCATACATAAAAGAAATATATACAGTAGGACTCCAAGGATACAAGGTTCAAATACAGGCAAAACTCAGCCACAGTGGCTAAGTTCAGATCAGTGTTACTGACGGGGGAAGCATATGAGGGGCTCTGGGCTGCTGCTAGTGCTCTTTGCTGGTCATAGCTGGTATTTATGGGGGTATGTTCCCTTTATTTTTTTTTTTAGTATATGTGCTGCCGAAGCGAGCACTCCTTTATTTTTTTTTTTAAGATTTTATTTATTTATTTGACAGAGAGAGAGATAGCGACAGTAGGAATACAGGCAGGGGAAGTGGGAGAGGGAGAAGCAGGCTTCCTGCTGAGCAGGGAGCCCGATGCGGGGCTTGATCCTAGGACCCTGGGATCATGACCCTGGAATCATGACCCAGACGCCTAACAACTGAGCCACCCAGGCGCCCCGGGGTACGTCCCCTTTAAAGAGATCCAGCATTCATTTGCCTTTCCCAAGGGTGACCAAAGAGGAGTTTGATGCGCAGAAGTTTCTCTTTGTAGGAACATTCTGCCAATAAATGAAGAATGATGGAACTGCAGGATCACTTTTTGAAACCTTGGTTAAATGAAATCTAGGCAATAATCATCAATGGCTGCCCAGTGGTGTGCCGCCTGATCAAAGTAAACAAATCACCCAGGAAATAGTCATGCCAAAGAAATGGAACTCCAATCTGATCAAGCCTTCCTAGAGTCTAGGTTTATGGGCAACACAGAGGATAGAAGACAATGTTAGAAGATCCCATAGGACTGGGAACTTCTACAGGACAACTGGCCTGAGTTCTTCAACCAAAAATTTCAAGAAGGAAACAAAAAGATGGAGCACAGGAGCCCAAATAATAGACTAGCGACCAACTGCAATGCACAGACCTTATTTCAACCCAGATTTGAACAAATAAACTGGAGACAATTAGAAATGATATTGGGGCACCTGGGTGGCTTAGTTGGTTAAGCATCTGACTTGATTTCAGCTCAGATCATAATCTCAGGGTCTGAGATCCAGGCCCACATCAGGCTCTGCACTGGGTGTGGAGCCTGCTTAAGATTCTCTTTCCCTCTCCTTCTGTCCCTTACCCTTTTCTCTACTAAAAAAAAAAATTTAGAAACGCTATTAAGAAAATAAAAAGGTAAATCCCTAGTATGGCAAGAGTACAAGGAAATGAATATTCCTGGATATTTAAGAAGCTTTATGGAAGGCAATTTGTTGGCATGTATAAAATGCAAAATTTCATAAATGTTCCTGCCCTTTAGTTTAGAATTTTTTTTTTTTTGAGGGGGTGGTACAGAGGGAGAGGGAGAGAGAATCTTAAGCAGGCATCACGCCCAGCACAGAGCACGATGAGGGGCTCCATCTCATAATCCTGAGATCATGACCTGAGCTGAAATCAAGGGTTGGATGCTTAACCAACTGAGCCACCGAGGAGCCCCTAGTATTCCACTTTTTTTTTTTTTAAGATTTTATTTATTTATTTGACAGAGAGAGACACAGCAAGAGAGGGAACACAAGCAGGGGGAGTGGGAGAGGGAGAAGCAGGCTTCCCGCTGAGCAGGGAGCCCGATGCAGGGCTCGATCCCAGAGTCCTGGGATCATGACCTGAGCTGAAGGCAGACGCTTAATGCCTGAGCCACCCAGGCGCCCCTAGAATTCCACTTTTAATTAGAAAAAGTAAAATGCTCATCAAGTATTAGGTAACTAAAACAGATTATAAAACGTAAAACACCAGGCCTAGGTATTTTCATGGTTGTTGTCTAGCTGACTTTTTTTTATTCCCCACTGAGCAGGGAGCTGGATGCGGGGCTCAATCCTAGGACCATGGGGATTAGGACTTGAACCGAAGGCAGACGCTTAACGGACTGAGCCACCCAGGCACCCCTTTAGCTAACCTTTTAAGACAACTAGTGGTTACTCAAACCTTTTCATGCTACAGAAAACATGGGCAGTTCTCCAGTTTATTTTACAATGCTTAATACCAAAACTTAATACCAAAACCTGATATAAGGACAGTATAATGAAGGAAAAACGTGTTTAATAAAAGCAATTCTAAATAAGCCAAACATGACATTTCATTAAGCAAGAATAGTTTTAAAATCAGGAAATCTATGAATACAAGCCAAAATGTATAAACAAGTTAATAGAAATGAAGTAATCATTGCTGGGATGCAATAATGTTTTGAAGGCTTTAGTTCATGGAATAAACACTGCAAAGGAGTATAGGATTTATGCCCAGAGAACCACGACTCTATAAAGACAAGTCACTCACCTAAAGAAATGGCTAATGGTCAATAAGAAATGAAGAGATGCGGGACACCTGGGTGGCTCAGTCGGTTAAGCATCTGCCTTTGGCTCAGGTCATGATCCCAGGATCCTGGGATTGAGTCCCACATCGTTAAGCGTCCAACTCTTGAGTTTTGATTTTAGCTCAGGTCGTGATCTCAGAGCTATGAGATCAAGCCCTGGGTCAGGCCTGCTTAAGATTCTCTCTCTGCCCCTCCCCCCATAAAAGAAAGAAAGAAAGAAAAGAGAGAGAGAGAGAGAAAGAAAGAAAGAAAGAAAGAAAGAAAGAAAGAAAGAAAGAAAGAAAAAATAAACAGGGGGGATACAGTAAATGTCCATAGCTTTTGCCAACAACCCCACCTATTCTCCCCAAAATGAACATGAAAGGACAGCAAATACTGTAATTGTTTATAGTGTTTGAACACTAGAAACAATCTAAATGTTAATCAACAGAAAAATAGCATATCCATAACAAGGATTCTCATGCAGCTATTTAAAAATAATGTACATTTGTGTACCGAACTACAGAAAGTTCCTGATAGGGGCACCTAGGTGGCTCAGTCATTAAGTGTCTACCTTAGGCTCAGGGCATGGTCCCAGGATCCTGGGATGGAGCCCCATATCGGGCTCCCTGCTTAGTGGGAAGCCTGCTTCTCCCATTCCCGCTCCCCCTGCTTGTGTTGCCTCTCTCGCTATGTCTCTGTCAAATAAATAAATAAAATCTTTCAAAAAAAAAAAAAGTTCCTGATATATTATTAGTAGAGAAAGTTCCAAAATAACGGAAAACAAACCATAACAAACTATGAGCAATTGATTTGATAGAATTAGATATGCTGAACTTGACACCAAAGAGGATACATATTTTTTTGAGTATAGGTGAAAGTTTTTACAAAAATTAAACTTTTATTAGGCCACAATAGGTCTGAATTAAAAGAAAACAAAGGAATTAAAACACTTAGAATACAATGAAAAACACTACACAGTTGTGAGACAAACTTAAAGTAGCAGGAAATTTATAGATCCAAGTAGACCAGGAGACAGTGATGCAGCAAACCCAAAGAAACAAACCCTAAGGAAAGTCTGTTCTCCCTAGCCAAAGGACTAGGAAAAGGGCCACCTATCAAGACAGAAAACTTTTAGACAATACCACCACCGTAGCCAAACACCAAGGGAAAAATGATGGCCCTACACCATGCCCGGTCAGCAAGCGGGGAGCTTACTCGTCCAATCCTTGCCCAGCTGTAAAGAAGTGCCCAGTCTCCACCTCACCGGGATGGTGTCAGCAGAGGCCTAGTGGGGACCTTGAACTCCCACTCCTGCCCAGCAATAATGAGGCTTGCCCCCACCGTGTCAAAGGAGGCCATGTTGGGGAACCTGACCTTCCACCCCTATCATCCCTGCAGTATCAGAGGCCTAAACAGAAAATTTACGTAGATCAGAGTCTTATTAATACCCAAAATACATAGGATACAAATGAAAAATCACTTGTCATACCAAGAACCAGGAAGATCTCAACTTGAATAGGAAAAGACAATCAATAGAAGCCAACACCACAACATGGATGCTGGAATTACCTGGTAAGGACTTTAAAGCAGCCATCCTAAAAATGCTTCAGTAGCCAATTAGGAACATGCTTGAAACACATGGAAAATAGTTAAGTTTGGCAAAGAAAAAGAACCAAATGGAAATTTCAGAATTGAAGAATACAGTATCATTCTCCTTGAGCAAAAAGGCACCTGGGGCTTCTCTGGACTGGCTGCCTCTTCGGCACTGGCTCCAGCCATGCTCCTTCTCCGCTTCGTATTTGCGGGCAGGTGCTCCTCTTGAGATCGGTCTGGTCTTTTTAACACTGTCCGGGCGATGGAGCTACACGTGGAAGAAGAGTCAAACAGCTTGCATCGATTGCCCTACGGGGGAAGAAAAAGAGACCCATCTTCCATTAAAACCTGCTCACTTGAGGGGCACCTGGGTGGCTCAGTCAGTTAGGCAGTCGACTCTGGATTTCAGATCAAGTCATGGTCTCAGTGTCCTGGGATTGAACCCCTTGTCATGCTCTGTACTCAGCGGGGAGTCTGCTTCAGGATTCCCTCCCCCTCTGCCCCTCCCTCCCTGGTTGCTGGAGCTCTAAAATAAATAAATCTTTTTTTTTTTTAAGATTTTATTTATTTATTTGAGAGAGAGAATGAGAGAGAGCACATGAGAGGGGGGAGGGTCAGAGGGAGAAGGAGGCTCCCTGCTGAGCAGGGAGCCCGATGCGGGACTCGATCCCGTGACTCCAGGATCATGACCTGATCCGAAGGCAGTCGCTTAACCAACTGAGCCACCCAGGCGCCCTAAAATAAATAAATCTTAAAACCAAAACCAAACAAAAACCCCTGCTCACTTGGACGGTAAAGAGGATGGGTCAAGGGCTTCCTGGGATGGTTTAAAATTCACCCTAAGTCAGGAAACAGACACTGTCCCTTCCTCTAGTCCCAGCAACTCCTGGAGGGCCTGGCACATAGTAATCACCGAATACCTGGTGCCCAACGAACGTGTGCACAGCTGACATGATACGGAGATGAAGAAGACAGTCGGCTCTCAAAAGCTGTCTACACAGGGTCCTAAGAGTCAAATAACTGTTACCCTCTAGATGGGAAAACATTTTTTTTTTTATTTGCGAGAGAGAGAATGAGAGACAGAGAGCATGAGAGAGGGGAGGGTCAGAGGGAGAAGCAGACTCCTCACTGAGCGGGGAGCCCGATGTGGGACTCGATCCCAGGACTCCAGGATCATGACCTGAGCCGAAGGCAGTCGCTTAACCAACTGAGCCACCCAAGCGCCCGGGAAAACATTTTTAGTTTGCCTCCTCCTCTCAATAACTTGCACCCTGCTTGAGTAGCTCAACAGATCTTAATACCCCACCTAAATCCAGAAAAGGTGGGAGGTAGCTGAATGTGCTAGAAAACAGGGCCAATAAGGTGTTAACATAGCGCTAAGGGTGTTAAGTTTGCAAGGAGCCAGGGTGCACAGAGAAGCAAGTGCCTTCAGAATTGTGTTCAAAAGTTGGTCTTTCTAGGACGAATTTCCCAGAGTCCTAGGGCAGCCACTCCGACCAGTGGTAGGGACAGTCTAAATTTGTGTGTCTGTTTGACTCAGTGTGCCCTGGCCTGGCTTTCCCTTCCATGCAGAATCTCCTTTCATACCCCAGTAAATTGCTCCTTTTCAAGCTGATACTACAATTTCGATGATGCGTCCTTGAAACATTCAAGTTAATCCCCAGCAGAGTGTGCCACTCCCAGGCCAGCTCTCCCAGAGACCACGGATTTTCTCCTAACTTTTCTGAAGTTTCTTTTAATGGAATGTTTTCTGAAAAGCAGGACCAGAGGTTTTTTTTTTTAAGATTTTATTTATTTGACAGAGAGAGAGGGAACACAAGCAGGGGGAGTAGGAGAAGGAGAAGCAGGCTTCCTGCTGAGCAGGGAGCCCAATTCGGGGCTCGATCCCAGGATCCTGGGATCATGACCTGAGCCGAAGGCAGACGCGTAACGACTGAGCCACCCAGGTACCCCCAGAGATTTTTTTTTAACCTAGAAAAGCTGGAAGCATTTTTGGGAAGAGAATTCACTGCTTTCAACAGTCTCAGAGGGAATTGTGAACTCCTCCAGGGCAGAAACCACAATTACAATACCCAGCAATTGTGAGTCTGCAGTAAGTGTCCGTGCAAGGCAAGTCCTCGCTGTGAAGGGTCCCAGAACTCGATTGGTAATTTAAAAAATCCAATTAAACGGGTGCCCGGGTGGCTCAGTCGTTAAGCATTTGCCTTCAGCTCAGGTCACGATTCCAGGGTCCTGGAATCAAGCCCCATATCAGGTTCCCTGCTCGACAGGAAGTCTGCTTCTCCCTCTCCCACTCCTGCTCGTGTTCCCTCTCTTGCGGTCTCTGTCAAATAAATAAATAAAATCTTAAATAAAAAAAAACAACTGATAGCCATTTCCCAAGCTTCCTCACTCTGTACATAATTTGTCTTTCAAAGTAGTAAATTTAGTCAAAGCATATATAATGGGATAGTCCATTTCCTCATAGCTATGCATGTTAATCTACTTTAATTTGTAAGTGGTCTCAAAAGTATAGTTCATTTGTCCCATATTTACATATAGTTCAAGGGCCGTGCTAGTTTAAAAATGTAAGGATATCAATTTATCTGTATACTAAGGGTGTGGGGCTCTGATTTTGTACTGTGATAGTATCTAATTTTCACCAGGCGTTTGCACACTAGGTGAAGATGTGTCCCTGTGCAGGTCTAGCCTCGCTTCTAGCTTCGTTTGAAAGTATCCCTGATGGAAACATAAGTCCATAGGCTATATACTGATAGAAAGTCTGTGAGTTACTGTTGTTTGGCAAGTGTTGTGCTAAATGATATGGAATATAAATACATGAGAAAGATTAAAAAAAAAGGCAGTCTTCAGACTTGATACTTGAAAAAAAAGATTTAATACTTGAAAAGTCTTTTTCCAACTACCTGGATGTTAGAGCCAGCAATAAATGTGGTCCTTCCCCTAATCAAGACTCCTTGTTTTACAAACTAGGAAACATGCAGACAGATGAAATGCATCTCTCAAGGTCTGCATTTGTGGGTGGCTCAGGCGGGGTCTAAACCCAGATCCCTAGGTCCTATCATTTCACTTGACCTTTGGTTGTACTCACCTAAGGTTGCATAATTGAGGGCACACCTCTACCATCCCAAACGCTATGGAGAAGATGGGAGACCACAGGTTCTCTACCCACCACGTACTTAAACACAAAGACACCCAACAAAATTGAGGATGTATTTTAAGAGTGTCTCTCCATGGGCGCCTGGGTGGCTCAGTTGGTTAAGCGACTGCCTTCCGCTCAGGTCATGACCCTGGAGTCCCTGGATCAAGTCCCGAATCGGGCTCCCAGCTTGGCAGGGAGTCTGCTTCTCCCTCTGACCCCCGCCCCTCGTGTATACTTTCTCTCATTCTCTCTCAAATAAATAAATAAAATCTTAAAAAAAAAAGTGTCTCTCCCACTGACAACTTTGGTGTCATTGTCATGACTTCTTCTTTACCACTATTACCCCTAAATACCACCCATTCCTAATTTATGATTCCTTCTATCTGTTCCCTCCTCTCTCCGTAATTCAGAAAATTAGCACTTTAGCACTTTGCCACATAGTCACAACTGGCTCCTAAGTACCCTGTTTGTAACTGACCCCTCCTCCCTTCCAGTTAACAGTCACACTCAACGAACCCTAGCGTCCCTGGGGAAAATCCATCCAAACCCCTTAGACTGGCAGACCAGTGACATCCGTCACAACCTCACCCCTGCCCACCACACGTCCCCGTTCTCCAGCTTCACAGGGCTACGCAGATGAACTGTTCTTTCATGAATCGACACACCCTGCCCCCCAAGTTCCCACACACCGTGAGACCCTTGGCAAACATGCCTTCTCTGCGGGATCGGCCCCTGACTTGCTCACAGCACATGGCTCTTTCCAGGGTGATGCACATTCCTGCCCTTGAAGTGCCCACAAGGCCCACCCGTTCGATGGGATACACGTGGCAATACATGTGTGTTTAACAAGGCCACACACACAGGGTAAGCTGTGGTCTGCTTCACCATCGAGGGCTCCATAACTCCGCTGCTACCCCGCGACGGAGATGTGGCAAAGTAACCCACTCCTTGCTGTCTTACTGCTTAAAGTGTCAGGTTTTAATATGGGGATTGAGTTAAAGGTGTAGCTGAGGGACGCCTGGGTGGCTCAGTTGGTTAAGCGTCTGTCTCGGCTCAGGTCATGATCCCAGGGTCCTGGAATAGAGCCCCACATCGGGCTCCTTGCTCAAGCGGGAAGCCTGCTTCTCCCTCTGCCTGCAGCTCCCCCTGCTTGTGCTCTCTCTGACAAATAAATAAGTAAGTCTTAAAACAAAAAAACCCCACAAAGGTGTAGCTGAGGATGACAGTGGGGACAAACCCTATTTGGGACAAGACAATGTTACACAGGCTATAAAAATGGGTAATTAAGGACACCGGCTAGAAGGGAAGCCTCAATGTGAAAGCACAGACTGAGTTTATCTACTGACGCCTCAAATTCCTGGCTGAAGCCAATGTTGGTGGCCACAGCAAGCCGCTTGCCCTTTCTCAAACTCAGACCACCTCTCAGAGCAGGTTAAGCCGTGAGGGGCAGAGGTGGCTCTGCAGAGGTGCGAAACAGAGCTCACGGGCCACTTTCGGACCCCATTCCAATGACGTAGTCATCCAAGGATGTGCTTCTATCAGTAACAGTTGTAACCAAATGCCTGGCTGGGTCAAAGGCAATTCTAACTTAACCTAGGCAAAAGAAACACAAATATCTGTCCTAAATATGTGCTGTGGGTGAGTCTATACAGGAGAAATGGAAAAACATAAAAATGATATAAACTTCAATTTTCTATGGGTAATACTCTCAGCACCCTTAAGCTCTGAAATAATCCTAAACCCCATGTAGAAAATACCTGTAGTAAAGCGAATCTTTGAACAGAAAACAGAGATAAAGCAGTGTTCCAAACGTTTGGCAGACTTTTTGCAAATGTTGGAAAGCGTGGACAAAACAACCAAACAAGCTGAAGAAAGAGGAGAGCCAGAGACCCAGGGACAGAGGACAGCCAGCTCCCCACCTTGCAACCAGGAGCTCTAAAGAGCTCAGAGTGCCCACGTAGGTGTACTCCTCAATAGCTCCTAGGGGAGATGCTGTGTTTTGAGGCCGAACAAGGCCCCAACCTGTGAACTCAGCCTCGTTCAGGGCCAATCCCCAGACTATCCGTACTTGCACCCACAGCTTAGAACACAAAGGTGCCACCAATCATTGTCACTTATGAGGAATTCAATTTAGCAGATGTTTTCCTGAGATCTTCAACTAGAAAGTAAGAGAGGTCAGAGTTGAACAGAAAGGACATTAACACACACACACACACAAGACATTAACTTGACCAAGAATGGCTGGGATAAACTAAAAATTATAAAAATAAGAATTACATGTGTATATATCAGCCAGACTTCCTCACACACCAATGAGGACAAAAGAAAACTTAAAGAAACAGTGTAAACAGTTCTCTTTACACGAGAGAACACTAGTGACCAGTCAAGGGAAAGGCCCATAGACTCAAAGACAGAATCAAATGAAACTATTTTTGATCCCTGTGGTGATGTGGGCGGAAAGATTAGTTTGTTTTTTTTTTTTAAAGATTTTATTTATTTATTTGAGAGAGAGAATGAGATAGAGAGCATGAGAGAGGGGAGGGTCAGAGGGAGAAGCAGACTCCCTGCCGAGCAGGGAGCCCGATGCGGGACTTGATCCCGGGACTCCAGGATCATGACCTGAGCTGAAGGCAGCCGCTTAACCGACTGAGCCACCCAGGCGCCCCGAGAAAGATTAATTTTCCATTTAGTCTAGTCTACTCTGTCCCAGAGGCCTAATTACTTGAGGCTCTCTCCAGACAACGGGAACAACTTACAAGATTTGTCGTTCTTCTCATGACAAGGGGAGCTGTCCAGAGGCTTGCCATGCACGATGGGGTCTCTTCATCATTCTAAAAGAGAAAAACTATTATAAAGATCCAGCAGAGACTAACAGTTTGAAGGCATTAGGTGTGATTCTGCCTGAGGAGTATCAGACAGGCCTGGATAGGAAGCCTCTAATGTTCGCTCCTCTTTCCCACTGCCCAGTATGTTAAGGTCAGAAGAGCATCATGTTTCTCAATTCGGACACCTGAACATGTAGCTAAAAGCACCTTCCACCCCAAGGGTACGTGAAGAGGTAGCCTCTGGCTCTCCAGCTTCACGCCAGCTCGTCTTTTACTCTTCTTGTTCCAGGTCTCTTGTACAAAATAGACTGTCAGCTCCTTCAGGGTATGAAGGATCCTCTGGGTGTCTTCTTTTGAAGAACTGCCCCACTTCCACCTCAGATTTAATTAGACTAGAAGCAGTCTCAATAAATTCTCACCAAAAGAACAAAAATATCAGCCATCCCAAAGCCCTGGGGAATTGCTGTTCTTTCTCACAGGACTTCCCCAGGGTACTTAGGGGAATGGGCAGGAACACACACACACACACACACACACACCACCTTCAGATTCTCTCCATCAAGAAGGTCCATGAAGCCATCGTCCTCATCAGACAAAGTGGCCGTCACAGGAGACTGGGGCATAAAAAGAGGAACGAAATTCCCTGGTTCGCTGCCATCTCTTTCATTGGAGGAAAGCTGGAAGACAGAATTCACGGCTTGTTAATAACTGATCAGATTGGATTTCCTTGGATGGGTCATTAGATTTTATGAGGAAAACATATTGTATTTATTAGAAGTAAAATTTTAGCAGATACTCATCAAAGGAAAATGCAGCCTAAGATGAGAAAGGATTTGATGTCTACACATAGTCCTGAGTAGAATCAGGCCTGGAAGCCTTCACAAAAACCTCTTCTCAGAAGCAATTCACTTTACAGTGGGATCTGGGGAGAGCCTCTAACGAAGGGCAAGGTTTGCTTTACCAGAGGACTGTAATCAGTGAATAGGGATCAACATGCGGGTTGTGATACAGTAGGATAACCTGCTGCAATGAGGAAGGGTGAGAAGATAGAATCTCTGCCCACAGAATGGCCTAGAGAATGCTTATGTAACTCCAGCTCTGAAGAGGGGCGGGGAGCGGTAAAGGGTGGCCTGGTTCTACACAGTCTATCCTAGTCTGTTAGACTTGGAATTTAAATGACAAGTGCTGTTTTTAACTGAGGAATTACTGTGTAGTGGACACTATGATATGATCTTAAGTGTTCAGTTCCATTTAAACCTCACAACACAGTAAGGGGAGTAACTCCTTTTCTACTTATTTAGCAAATCAGGAAACCAATGCTTAAGAGAGGTTACCACAAGACCACATGGCTCACCCGTTTGACTCCAAAGCCCAAGCTTCTCTCACTACATTTTCTCCTAGGAGAGAACTGCTCCTGGAGTAAAAATAGGGTCTCTCACTAGGTGACACTACGTTGTTGTTTGGGGGGGAACCCCCAACATAAAACTAATATATTATTTAATATAGGAAATTTAGAAAGATGGCTCATAAGTCTACCATCTAGAGATAAACATTGCTGGGGTGCTTGGGTGGCTCAATCGGTTAAGGGTCTGCCTTCGGCTCAGGTCATGATCTCAGGGTCCTGGGGTCGAGCCCCACGTGGCTCCCTGCTCAGAGGGGAGTCTACTTCTCCCTCTGCCCTTGCCCCCTGCTGGTGCTCTCTCTCTGTCAAATAAATAAGTAAAATCTTAAAAAAAAAAAAATTCTAGAGATAAACATTACTAATACAAACATTGCTGATAGTGAATTATATCTTTTCTAGGTGCTTCCCAAAGCCAGGAAATATGTTCAGAGATATATCTTTTCCCACAGTAAGGAGGCAGTCTCAACCTAAGTCCTACAGATAATCCTTAAGACACAAATCCCTTTGCAATAGAACTGCATTAATCCTTAAGCTGCCCTCTCGTTTTCGGCGTCAATTGCCTACCTAGGGAGGGATCCTCTCTGCAGCTAGCCTCCTCTGCTTCAGGCACCAGCTTGCTTCACAGAAGTTCTACGCTGCCTCTGATCCTCCACAAGTGCTCCTGCGCATGCTTTGGGCACACAGGCAAGTTTCCAGCTAGCAGAACCAAGGGGCAGGTAACTTTATCGTGGGGCGACACCCTCTGAAGGCTCACACTAGAATACCAGTATTTGTGGGAAGCCTGGGTGGCTCAGTCAGTGAAGCGTCTGCCTTCAGCTCAGGTCGTGATCCCAGGGGCCTGGGATCGAGTCCCCCATCAGGCTCCTTGCTCAGCCAGGAGCCTACTTCTCCCTCCCCCTGCTGTTCCCCTGCTTGTACACCCTCCTCTCTCTCTGACAAATAAATAAATGAATTCTTAAAAAAAAAATTTTATAATACCAGTATTTGTGACCTAGGTTCTGGGATCCCTAGTGCACATGTGATACAGCAAATGACAGACAAGTCGCCTATAATTAGGGAAGGCTGGGGGACCACAATAAACCCCGATGGGGTGGTCTTCAAGGGCACACTAAAGATACTTAGTTTTGGATACCCAGTACTTAAAAGAATTACTGTGTAGTTGGGAATCAAGAGATTCTGTTAAATCCTGGTCTTCTGTTATCTGTGTCCTTTGACAAATCAGCCAACCTCCCTCACCAGACTTTCCCTATCTGTAAAATGGGTTAACTCCAGCTACTTCACAGGCTTATGAGAACATATATAGAAGTGCTTTGTGCAAATGCTAGACAGAGCAATGATACTGGCTGAACCTGAACCTCAGACCACAAGCCAGACTGGAAAGCTGTATTTTCACATGCAAATTCCCAGGAAAGACTGGAAACCAAATGTGGTCATCTCGTTGGGCCTTTCTAGCCTTAGCTGTCAGATCACCAGTAGGCAACTTTGGAAGCAGTGACGCCTCTTTCTGGCAAAGAAATAACCCTGGGGTAGGTAGCCCCCAATTCTGTCAAGTAGCCCATAGGTGGTAGGTTCACTGGAATCCCCAATAGTTCTTAATAAACCACCTTTGGAAGAAGCCAAGTGCTGTCTCTGAACAAAACCACTCTGGGAAGTACCTCTTAGCACTCAGGAGGCACTATGAAAGAGCAAGTTTTAAGACCTATAATCCCACCGCACACACATTTAGAAGAATGACCCAGCATGCCCGCAGATTATTTCCCCAGAATTGACAAGGTCAAATATTCCTTGCTCAAGTTCAATATTCCAAACAGACCATCTCTCACTCTGCTTCTGCCTGTCTGCTCTCCAGACACAGCAAAAACACCAAAAAATGTGACAGTCTAGTTTCAAATGACAAAGTCAAGGTAAAGACAACAAGAGCTACTGTAGCATCTTCGACTCCGGGTTCAAGAAGGTGCTTTAATTCTGTTCCCATCAGGAACTCCCCTGTGAAAGCCAGGGCACATACCATCCGAGCTGGGGCAGAGTTCTGCCTCTGTGTGAAGAGATCTTTACTCTCCTCAAGTCCATGAGAATGCAGGCAGCCACGAGATGCCGGTCTTATTGGCTTCTTAAACTCAAAGGCTTCCTGCAAGACAGTAGAGTCAAGACATATTCCACTGTCCATGAAAACCAGGGCCTCAGCTGTAGCTCGGGTGAGACAGCCAAGGGAGCAGGCACTGCTCACCTTTGTAATTGCCTCCAAACTAAGGGTTTACCCATTTCTGAGCTTAACTCCAACACTGGATCTGTGTCACGAAGAATTTCACAGACTTTGTCAACAGCTGACTTCCAAGGCAGCATTTTTTTCTCTCACCACAAAGACTATTTCCTGACACAAACATAAATATCGGCCAAGTATACAAAACACTGAGTTAATAAGCTAAATCCAATCAACAACTTCCTAAAATCTAAAGCAAAGGGTTTCAATATAATTGCCCGTGAACAGGAGCAAAAACTTTTCACTCTAGATTTGTTTGAAGATTTTGTATTTTCCACCTTCTTCCTACCAACAGGAGGTAGTTATTTTCCACTTAAAGTTATTGTACTCCATACTCAAAGCAATGGAAAATTAAGAAAACTACTGTTTTTACTCAACATGAATGAATTGCACATGTTGAGTGAAAGCCAGAAGTGACAGAATACATTCTGTATGATTCCATTTACTTCAAGTTTGAAAGCACTTATAATCCACCTACCTAAAACAGCCACTTCACTTGGGATGAAGTGCTCAGCAAATATCAGAGTATGTATAAGCCAACACAGGACTAAGTACTTTCTATGCATTAACTCATATAACCATCACCGATCACCCCCATTTTACAGATGAGGAAGAAACTAGGCCGTACAGGTTAAGTGATGTGCCTAAGATCATAAGAGCTCTTTCACCACCATCTATGCTCTTTCCCCTCCAGAACAAAATTCCAAGCGGGCAATCCTGGGAAAAGCCACGTTCAGGGGAAAACCAGGCATCAGTACAGCTTCAGTGTGTCCAGTAGAAGGCAGTACACGTACACACACACACACACGCACGCACGCACGCACGCACGCCGAGGCAGTGCTCCAAGCACTCAAGGCAGGAACTCACTTTATGTATTGTCCCTCAGAACCACTCACAAGTTGCTAAGGGAATCACTGGGAGAATTCATGGAGGCAGTAGGTTTTACACGAAGTCTGGAAGATGATAAGGATTATAAACTGTGGCATTTTAGCAGGGGATGGAAAAGGGGAAGAAATCAAATGGGGATATAGTGAGAATGAAGGCTGGAAAAACTGAGCCAAGTCACGGAACTGTTTTGGGTGCTTACCCTGTGCAGTGCACCTGGCGGGTATGAGAGAAAAGCCAGGCCAGGGTGTTCCTGGACTTTTGGATGGAACACCACAAGCTCACCCTCTAAGCTACCAGTTCAGTTACTCTGTGATTCCCTGAGACTTGTTGGCCCTGTTCTTTCAAATACTGCCAAGAAGCCTTTTCCTAAGCTTACAACTCATCCCAGGGTGAGCACAAAGAGGCAGGGCCTGGGCAGACCCTTCTGGATAAAGTATTCATGGATACAATTACTCCTAAGGGCTACCATCTGAGCAACTCCTCCCTGCCAGGAACCACTTTAAATGCTTTACATACATTATCTTATTTAATTCCATAATGCCCTACAAGTTACTGCTACTCATATTTTATGAACAAAGAAATGAAGAAGCCTAAAGAGAAGTAATGGGTCAAGGTCACACAAGCAGGATTCAAATCCAGGTTTCTCTGACTGCAGAGACCATGCATGACTTTGGTGAAGGTCTAGTTTCCCAGAAAGCAGCCCAGCCACTTCTCTAAGCCACCTCTGGCTTTACCTCTATCCTACATTAGTACATTGAGGCCACTCACGTTTTCCTTGTTCTCATCCTGGTCCATCAGCTGAAAGACATCATGGTCAAGAGAATCAGAATGGCTCCTCTTCAGAGCTGGGCTACATCCCAAGAGCTTCTGCTGTCAAAATGAAAAAAAAGACATTAGGGTACATAAATGACAATTCAATGAAACTCAGGTTCAAAAGAAAAACAAAAATGGCAGTGGGGGGGGTTATCTCCTCACACACTGCAGGTGGTAACCAAGAAATGTGGCCAGGGTTCCACCTTGCCACAACATGGGGTAGGAGATCCCACTACATGGCTTCCCACCTAACCTCACAAGGTAGGTCTACAGCCCTCTCAGCAGAGATTTAGGGTGCCAAATCAATCCAGAAATATCATTTGCAAAAAAAAGAATCCTTCCTGTATCTAACTGGTAGTTAGAACTGAAGGTGAGGTTGTTTAGGTGTTTTGAGTGCTTACAAGACTAAGGAAAAGCAGTCTTTGCTGTCTAAATTAAGGTCTTCCATCAAGGTCATACTGATAGCTAAGGAGACAGATAATATGAATTAGCTCAAAATAAAAAGGGAACTAACTTACAGGCAGGAAACTTATTCTCCTCATGGGATTTTCAAGGCTGCAATGAGATCAGAAGGTAAACAATGAGAATAAAACAAGAGAGAGGTATTCATATTAGCAGATGCAGTGGTCTTAGTCTATAGTTTGGGGAGGGGTTAGTCAAACATCCCCATTTTAGGCAAGATGGAAGAACAGATTTCTGAGGCTGTCCTGTTCTCACAAGCACCCCCAACATTACTGGGCTTCTAGGTAAAAAGAGCAAGCCCAGGTCTTCTCTTAAAATACACATTTCTCGGGGCACCTGGGTGGCTCAGTCGGTTAAGCGACTGCCTTCGGCTCAGGTCATGATCCTGGAGTCCCTGGA